TGTGCGCAAGACCGGCATAGACGTGCTGAAATGCGCCCTGAGATCAGAGAAGTGGTGGGAAACCGGTTGGAAGGCAGTGGGAGGCACAGCCGGTATAAAGGAGATCTTTGAGAAGCTTAGCATCCAGGACGCTAGGCGGCTGGCAAGAGCCATCGGCTCGTGCTCAAACACCAGTGATCCTCTGAAACGGCAGGCGATCGATGAGCTGCTTCATCTGTTGCTCCCGGATCTTTTCAAGCCTCCATCGATGCAGGTTTCGTACGGCTCTCAACTACTTAAGTTGGAGGACGTAATGCCGTTGTTTAACCTGTCCAGCGACGCCACTCTGACGAAAGTCTTCTCAACACCCTTGTCCGACGATGTCACCGGTTCCCTGATGCGACAGTTGCTCAAGTCTCACATGTTGCTACTAAGGGATATTGCCGTCGGGGTAGTTCCGGTCCATCCTCCGTTCCGGAGGCGTTTGCTCGACCAGCATCTCGCTGCGTTGCTTACTTCGAGTGAACCCTACGAGTCCCGGCTCGGTCACGGCAGGCAAACCGGCTTCCCAGCTATCGATATCACCTTGGACATTTTCGCTAGTGACTCGGATGTTTCGGAAAAGGCACGTGCGGTCGGTTGGCATGCTCGCGTTCGGTGCATCGATCTGGCTCTCACAACCGCTCGCCGTCGAAAAGTGCCTTTCGACGCTATCTTTGCCTTTCTTCAGCAGGTGTTACCAGACCTGGGGCATTCGGAACGGAAGCTCAGCGATTGGGTACCCCTCATATTTTCACTAATAGAATTCTGGGTGATCGCTGCTTTTCCAGAGGCACATCTAGAGTCGGTTTCTGATGCGCCTGCTGGACGTTATCGGGAGCGACTGCATCCGTCCCGACCACGAACGACCCACAGAGATTCCTTAGAGACGATGCTTCGAACAGCTTTTTGCACCCTATCAAACGATAATTTTGCTTATTGCCTCAGAACTCTTCTTCCCAAGGCCATTGCGAAGGCAAGGCTTCCCCTACTCAAGATTCTATGCAAGCACCTGCAGTCCCTTGAGATTGATCTGGAGCAGCCTATGCCGTCAGAGAAGGAGCGCAAACTTTTGCCATGGAGTTCGTCGTTTCTCATGTCTCTCCCCGGTCGCGATGCAACATGGCTACTTGAGCGCGCAACACTACTATCGCCGAATAAGAGCTTGACCGGGTCTTTCGGTTTCGAGTGGCCAGCGAGCGCAGGGGACTCGTCATCTTTCCGGGATGTTTTGATTCGAGTCTACTTGGAAGCTGCGGACAGGGAAGCGACCGACCCTGCTAACTTAGTAGCCCGTAAATGTGAGTCAGGTTTCCTGTCTGTATCAAGAATCATGCTGATGCCTATCTGCCATGTACAGTAATCGAAGACGTAAAGCGCAAGGCTGTAAAAGCCCGTGACCCCGAAGACCGGCTGCAGTGGGCAAAGCTGACGATCACTATCGCAAGGATGAGCCGAGACATTCGCCATGTGCAAGGTGTCATCTATTGGACATCGCGCTTCATCCGGGATCCGGTACGTCAATTCTCTATCTCATCATGTATGAGCAGATTGCTAACACTACATGTTTCTCCAGTCCGTGAGACCAGATCTCGCAAGAAGGATTTATCGGGAGGATGTTGCATCCGTTCTATCGTGTGTGGTATCGCCAACTCTAGAGGAGCTGGCCGCTAATGTAGCCATTGCTGACGAGGTGATATCTCATCTCCTGGAACAGGCGCTTCTAACAGTGCAAGAGCCGTGGTATAAGATCAACCAGGATCAAGGTTTTGGCCGGCTACTTAAGCTTGTCGTTTCTAGCCGGATACATGCGGTGAAGCGCTTGTGTTATCGTGGTCTAGGGAGCGAACAGGACGTGGTGGACAGGTTATTCGAGGGAATAGTGCCAATACTGCTCAGATATGAAACATTGGGTAGCACGGAAGGATACGAATCCCTTGGGTGGGGACAATTGTCTGGCCCACTTACAGACCTCCATTGCCCGCCGAACCCACCAGTCCCGATTCTAAAGCTCTTGGATTCGCTCGCACAGCACAGAGATCATCTTTGGGTTAAACAGCGCAGTCTTCGGAGCCCACAAACCGATACTTTGTCCGAGGGCCTACCGCGAGGTCTACCGCTTCAGTATTTCCTTCCTTCGCTGGAATGGACGATAGCGGTGATGAAATCACAAGGGCCTAGCGCCTTTGTAACTCAAAGAGTGACCGAAGTTGTCTTCTCCAATCCTGGTCTACTCCTTCAAACAGTGAAGGAGGACGAGCGCAAAGTGTACTTGGTGGATAGTTTGAGGTTTGCAATAGGGGCTTACGTCGATCATCTACCGGTCGCTGAACGGGGGAAAATGATACTGGAGATTTGGAGGCATTACTCGGAAAGAATTCCATCTTCTGCTGGCCATCTGGAGGCCTTCAGGAGAATCATTTGCCCCTTGCTGGAAGAATCCCGAAGCTTACGGAAATTAACGAGCACCATCGACCCTCCCCAGTTGCCTTCTGTGGATATATTCAAGAACTTGTCACGCGACTCATCAAACCTTGAATGGGAGCCCCGATCAGTAGATATACCACATGATGCACAGGGCTGTTGGGAGGGATCACTATTACACGTTCGACTGGTTGCCGAGAAGGAGGACAAGTCTTTAGAGACATTATTGGCATATCCCAATGTCTCCATCGGGCGGCCAGCACCTGAGAAGCCCAAGACCTTGGCTATATGGTGGCCCAAATATGGCCCCTGGAGTCTTTCCTCCCAGTACCGAGAATCTCTGATTGCCTCCGCCCTCTTGTTTCTCAACAGTCTAGCCCACAATACGGACCGCATATTGTCCAAGCCATTTCCCGAAAATACAGATATTCTTCGGTATCCACCAGTGCACCTGGATTACGAGTTTCTGTCCTCCATCGACAATCAGAAGAAAGCAGCAACTGCAGCTGTTGGTCTTCTTAATCGCTTGGTCAAAATAGTACCACCTACCCTGCTGTGTGACCTTTCGCTGTCCCTCTTGGAAACTCTCCACCTCCTTGAAAGCACATCGCCAAAATATGCACTAGTTCAGCAACTTGCATTTAGAACAATGGCACTGGTGCGGCGCTCAGATAGGCCTGAACTGGCGGCGATGCTAGGTTTGAAAGCGCTTCAGCTATTCCCAGAAGCTTCGTCGTGGCACCGGATGGCATTCCCCTCGTCGCTCCTCGAGGCCCTCACTCGCCCAAATGCGGACCGGGTAATGGGCGATTTCACTGCGTATGTTTTCAAAGCCTTGGAAGAGCAGAAGCAGCAAGCAAGCTTGAAACCTCCCACAGGAGGGGCGGTTATTAAGATCACAACGGTGAAGATGCTGGCTACGATGCTGGCGGAAAGTAAATTTGGCGTGTCACCCCTTGCTGCCGTCAAGGGTTTGAATGATCTCTTTCATGCCAGCAATCATATTGATGTCCGGGTAGAAGTGTGCAGGGCTCTACTGAAGATCATAGAGGAGTGCGATGGCAATGAACAGGCCTACGAAACATTTACATCGCTCACATCCTACGCCGCAGTGCCCAGCGAAACCACCGCCTGTGGATCTTGGTTGCAATCAGAGAACACCGAGCTTCCGAGGGTGGATTGGCAGCGACCTCTTCTCAATTTGTTTACCAATGATGCCTACGACAAACTGCCTGCAAGATATCGTGAACACTACACCTACAACGCGCTTCTACCGCTCCTTGACGAATCAACAAGACAACATAATCGATGGATGCGCCAATTCCTTTCCCCACTTGATCTCACGCCCGACGAGCGGTCGGTGACTGACTTTGGCCCTTTTGAGCCAGATATGATTCAAAAGTTAATGGAACGCTGGTCTGAATACCTGCCCCGGGAATTTCTTCTTAGGTACCGGGCTTGGATGCTGGCCTATCTTGATTGCATACGGCTCCGGAACGTCGACGATAAGATGACCGGGAAAGACGGATCATGGCGGACTTCTGACTCATATTCTCACTGGAGTAGGTGGTTCGGTGTCCATGCTAGAATCAAATCTTTCCATGCGCTATTAGGAAACATTGTAGCCAAGAAGGACCCCAAGGTTCCAAATGGCATAACCCGGGAAGATCTCGCGGATGAGATTGTGGCCTGTGGAGAGATCTTTCTGCGCAATCCCTTCAAGATGTTGTCTTATCAGGTCGACGTGTCTTTGGACCGAATTACGAACCTACTTTCTACGCTAGGGATTAGCCAACCCAATCGTCGCACCGAGGTTTTGCCGATTGCAGAACGAATAATAGCATTCGCGCAGGGGCTGCGAACCGAAGAATGGACTAGGGACCCGTATCGCAGCCCCCCTGTTCTCCCCTCCAAATTCCAACTCCAAATCCTGCTTCTCCCGTTTCCCCAGTTCCACCAGAAGGATCCTTACCGGTACACCAGGTTTGTATCCAGCACGTTGGCTCTGGTTGATGAGTGTGTCTGTTTCGATACGTACATCGCCGACAGGGCTGCTCTCCAGGAGGCGATGAATCGTGTGATGAAGGAGGATGTACGCCAATGTGCACTGGAATTCGGCCAGCGGTACGAGTCTAGCGCAACTACCCTCGTGCAGTACGTGAGGGTATGGCTCGCACAGGTCTTGGTACTCAGATGCAACATGCACAAGGACGAAAATGATTTGACAGCGCGATCGATGATGGCTCAGTGGAGGAACAGTCCGAACGAGTCGATACGGTCTATTGGATGGTCTATATACCCCCAAGCCATGTAACAATAGCCTATGTTTCTAAAAAATCGGCATGATGGGTTACTCTCACAATATGATATATGTCTTGTAGACATGCTCCCTTACTCCAGTCAAAAGGTGAGAAGAGATGTAGATGCAGATATATAAAGGCGCCTGGAATCAGTATACACTAGAATGTCCAATCTTTCAATCGACTAATCTCGGCTGACACAATTTCGTCGTAAGCTGACCTCCAAAAATTGTGAGAGGATGAGACTAGCAAAAAAAGGCCCAGACGCAAGACTCGAACTTGCGACCTCACGTTATATTCGAAAATTAATCGTGCGCTCTGCCAATTGAGCTAGTCCGGGTGGATGTTGCGTGGAAATTCCGGGGAGTGGTCTAAATGGGTGGGAGACGGGTTGCAAGCACCCAGGACTCTGATGTTCAAGGTAAAAGTTTACATGTACAGTACGGCTGATTCAGGAAATGAAGACCATTTCTTTGCTCGTTGGCCATCCAATATGAGGGGGTTGGTAAAAAGGAGAGAAATAGAAAAAAAGTGGTCAATCCTTTTGCGTCACCATCATACATTCACCAACAGGGTGGGCGTTGTTCCTTGAGTCAATGAATTTTGACGAACAAGAAGTATTTCTTACGTGTTACACAAGTCCGTGCGACTCAAAGAAACGGGCCATCAGCGCTAGATAAGGAAGTGAATTTGCTGACTCAATCCATCAAATGTCATCCATCCAGCTTGTGCTTGGATTGTCGACGTGCAGCTTTGGTGCCTGGGCCCGACTTAGCCCCCACGCGGCGGCGCCACACGCATCAAGAATCGGTCTCTGTCGATTCCCTTTTGCAGATGCATTCTGCGGTGTTCTTACTCTGCTACTTCGAGTGATCGAGCAGTCTCAAAAGACCAGAAAATGAGTCAGCCATGGGAACAAAAAGATGTTTGGTTCTGTGCTGTGGGCACTAGCGGTATGGGTGGCCATAACGAACATTGCCACCTCCGCTCAGAATGCGTCAAAGTAGTTACTAAATCCCCTGATTTACTGCGCTACCCTCACCTTTATGCTGAGATCCATGAAGTCAGAGAGACAGTTTTCGCTCCGCAGTTAACAAAAACAAAATCAAACTCCGGTGGTATTTGGCGGCGGCTACATCTCCTGACAGAGTAAATTGACCAGCATTTTCCCAGCATCCTCGGTGACATGTAGGACTTATAAATACATGGCCCTGTCATTGATGTCCCCATGCTCATAGCTAATTAATAAGTTCTACTAATATATCAGTACTGTAGAGAAAGTGTATATAAGACACGCTGTATATATATCTTCCCTCAGATGTACTATAATACATGCTAACATGTAATTAAAGAATTCTAGCTACTGTCTAGCATATAATACTTGCTGCGCGGTAGTGCGCTTGAATGAAACCTGTAGCCGTGCCTTATCAGTTATAAACATAACAGGCCAAGTAATAAATGTAATAATAGTAGAAAGAAGGTATATGTATTTTAAAGTAGAATTAGCAAGGCCTTTATTACTAGTGACAGTCCTAGTAGTAGCATAGATATGAGGGATACAGTCAGCTCACGGCCTGAGTTATCTTGGCCAGTACACCAATGGTTTTCTCTTATACTATATAGCCTATGCCATCTCAAATGTTAGTGGCGTCAGAGCTACATTACTCCCAGTGGTGTTAATATCTGTCATTGTAGCCTTGCTACTGAGATACATGACTGACCAGTGCGTGAGAAAGAAGGGGAGATGCTTTGATTGACTGGGCTTTCGGATTTGCATTCAAAAGCCAGTGGGGTCCGAGGCACTAGTCTAGTGACAAATGATAATCAAGTGCTTTGTTGGAGTGAACGGACGCGCTCGGTTTGATAGCAGCGCTTTCAAACACTCTGTGCTTCTCACCCTCATTAGTAAGTGACAGCTGTACACACAGCTGCACAGATAAACCCTACATACAGTCCGGTTACCTCATCAGGCCTGCACTCCAGGTTCCAGAACGTTAAACTCATCGAGAGCGGAGTCTAATCTGACAAGCGTGTTGATGGGTAGAGTCAGGAATGGACTCGTATGGCCAAAGTCAACGTTCATCAAGATCGGCAGCTGCTCCTCACGACTTCGACCAACAATTACATCAAAGACTTCCTCGATCACACTTGCCAGCTCATCCTGCATATGAGTATCATATTTGTACCCTCGCCCAACAACCAGTCCACGAATTTCATGTAATATGCCAGACAGAGCAAGATCGACAAGATTATTCCGGAACTGGGACACAGAATACGGCAGTTGCAAGTTGTCGCCCATTGCAGACTCAAGAAACAGGATCTTGTTTTTCCACGAGGCGGGGGCGTAGTGAGTTCCCTGAAGACGCACGACACAAGGTACAGTGCCCCCATATAAATATCCAGTGGCGCGACCTTTCCGAAGCCATCTCCACGACGGTGAATCGACGGTCTCGCGCGGTTTGTCGGGTATTCCTTTGCTTAATAAGAAATCGTTATGCTCGGTCGAGCAGATGGACGACCGAGGAAGTGGACCCACTGACATTCCCGCCTTAGTCAGCACATGAAGGAAGTGGTCGATCGTGAGTTGTATAGGCTGAGGAAAATCAGAAAAATCTGTAAGGACACTGGGTCCGTAAAATGTGCGCAAGCCGGTCTGGGATTGAATGGCATAGTGAAGGAAGGTAGTGTCACTGTAGCCGACGAAAATCTTAGGATTTGTTCGAATAAGGGAGTAGTCGAGGAAAGGTAGCAGTTCATTAGCATGCGCGCCGCCGATCGTGCAAATAATGGCGGCAATCGTGCTATCACGGAAGGCGGCATGGATTTCCTCGCAGCGAACGCGAATAGATTCTGAGATAGTGGTTGTTGCCTGGCTAGAGAAAATAATCTGTACGTGGAAGCCTAGAGACTCCAGACAGGCTTTCCCTCGCGCAAGGGCAGTAGGTAGGACGTCATTGAGACGTGCGGAGGGTGAGATAAACGCGATCTTGTCTCCCCTCTTCAGAGCTTTCGGAATGATTGTGTCCATTGAGGTTGTTGGGCATCGAGCAGATACTGCGTGATACAAAAATCAGTGTAGATCTGCCAAGGAGTCTCGCGCCACTCGTTGACATGACAAGGCAAGCCTCTGGTCTCGATCGAGCGGCTTGTGGAGCTGTATTAAATAGTGCAGTTGAGCTTGACATTCGACGAGCAGTTGTGCTCCGTAGTTCTGATTGGCAGAGATCTTTTGCGCGTGGATCCGCCGTTAACTTGGTTCCGCATCGCCGCATGTCCAACCTCCTGAGCAATTAAGTTGACAGAAGGCGCTGGTCGTCAGGTATACCCGTCACAGGGTATTTCAAAGAAAACGATGTCACCAAACAACTCTCGAATGAGACTTTTGAGTATCAGGACTGAAGCCTGGAGTGAGCTATGAATTAATTAAAGCGATGCAGGCCACCACATTCGAAGTGCCATTGAATTAGTCGTTATCTCTATGGTATCCTCCCATCATTATCCGTTCCAGTGCCCCACTCAACTGATGTCCGTGCATTTCCTAATACCCGGCAACCCCCCCCCCAAAGAGTCTACCAGTAAGCCTTGTTCACCCTCAGGCGACAATGTCCATGACATACGATGCTCTATCTGCCATGCTTCGTAAGCAGGCAAGAGCAATTTACCTTGCTCCCAAACTGGGACTTGAATTCAAGGGCTCTTCAACGCAATTGTCGCGCTTGCTGCTGGAAGTCCCTTTCTTACGGGGGCGCTCTATGGAAAACTGCCACATGGGGCAGCACAGATATTCCCCTTCGCAGCCCCAATGCCCGGTGTCGCGACGCTCGATGGTAAAAACATCCTCAATTTAAGTGCAGCCGCTGTGCAGAGCTTTCCAGAACTGTCACTATCCAGCCACTGTTGTGCCGTGGCCGCAGCCGCAGCCTAGCGTACTTACAGTGTCGAATGAAACATGTCCCTGCACCCCCGTGTCATCAGTCTGAAAGCATCGTTGCCCTCCAACACAGCGGTCATATTATACTAAAGTGGCCTACGTGGATCACGGACATTCGATGCTTGTGCATCCGAGGACAATTAAACGTGATCGATCTCCCATCGAGTGAAACAGAACGTGGCGTGAGTACTAACTCCCCGGTTCCCACTCTACTAAATACTATATATTGATGTGTGCCAAGTCGGCTTTATACTGGTTACTAGAGGGTGATGACAGCTCGATGGTGCTTTGTCTTGTAGTTGACGCTACTGCAAGTACACATAACCCGTAGCATGAGCAAGCAGAACGAAGAGGCTATCGTTCATGCAGAGGTATGTACCTATTATAGGTATTCTCTCTGAATCCCCGATTAGTGCCCACAAACCCTACCTTCCCAGCCTGTGTCGTACAAACCTACGTTTGAGGGATACAGATGCACCATACCCTGACCATGGACTATGCTATAAGTTGTTCTGGGGCAGATCCAGTAGTCCCTTGATGCTGGCAGCTGCAACAAGAAGACGAAGGACCCTTAGCCTTGGGCAGGCTCTAAACCTAGCAAACCACTCTTGTAAATTGCTGATAGTAGTAGTAATACTAGCAGTTCTCTATCCAGCGAGATCCAGGCGGTATGTTTTCATATAAACTTTGAAAAAGAGTGTAAATTTTGATCTCTATACGGCATTCCAGTTTTATGGACTCTTTCGTGCATAGATACAAAGGTCTGCAGGACAATCTTAGAGAGAAGCAGTAAGAAATTCCTACTACACTCAGTGTATAGAGACGGCGAAGGTTTACCCTCCTCCGAAGCCAAAGACTCCCGTCATCAGTTGCTGATATTCTCCGCCGTTCCTTTACGATTGTACAGGATAGGCCTGCCTTCAGATATCGCTATTCGACAGCATACTCGGATGTCTACACTTCTTGCAGGACCACAAAGTACAAGAAATGGCGTGTGGCGGATGACAGGAGTTGCAAAGTGCCATCCTCAGGCGGACCTTGAGACTCGGGATCAACATAGCCGACTATGAATCCCCGCAGGAGGCCTCACTTTGACCCCTGCTAGAGCCAGCACTGGTGGTCTCCAAACCATCATGTAATCTCTGATGGTGGGTTTGTCCTTCTACTACCCTCAATTTCCTGTTCATCTTCTTGGCATGCTATCTTGCCACCTTCGGTCCGCAGTGCACTTTTGCACTTCCATTTCAGCGCGTCATCCTTTGAAGAATCGACTCTAACTTCGAGTAGTATACAACACATATAAGATAGTCCCTAGAATATTTCCTAAATAACGCAAGCGGGGTTCAACTATCGGTCTTCATTGGATGCGATGGCCCCCTAGACGTTCGTATCCGATAGCCTATTCATAG